AAAGTCCCCGCAAAGGGTGCATGGGGTAATGAGTACCGTTTCTGTTGCATTGACAAGTTCTCTCATTCTAAATAAAAACTGTCCCCTACTTATAATTAATTCTGCTAATGAATCATCTAAAACTTTACAATGATACATTGATTTCCCTCTCTTTTTTGTTAGTCTATTTTTTCTAATACTTTTGACATAGTTTCTAATTTTATCTATGCTTATGTTGTGGTCGTGTAGTTCGTCTGCGATCATATTTCGAATTGTTCTTCACTAACAGTTTCATCAATGGGGTCGAATCTAATGATACCGGTAGTTTTCCTTGTTTCTGGGATTTTCAAATTCAAGTTCTTGTCAGTTCCTACTTTTTGTATATTCTCAGTGAATGTTTTATGTGCTTCAGGGTTTTGTGCTTTGACCTCAATTTTCACAGAATTGTTCTTTGTCACTGTAGAGAATAGAACAGCAACATCTTTAATGGCTTCTTTTGGTATTCCATTGTTGAGTGAGTCCTTTATATCTGTTCCAGTTATATCCTTGTTATCTGTTGAGATAATTATAGTGCTCATATCTTTGGGTCTGTTTTTTCGGTGTTGTTTAATCACTTCGTCGGTTTTCTTTTCTAGTATTTCTTTATTTGTTAGTTTCGGTCCAAAATTTATTTCATTGCTCTTGTTGATTCCTTTTTTCTCAATTTCTTCGATTTTTTTGTTCAATTTTTTGAATTCATTCATAATTGCTTTTTGATTTTCTTTAAAATTACTGGACACATCTTTTAAGGTTTTTTCTAATTGTAATACTCGATCTTTGAGTTCTCTATTCTCTTTCCTTGTTTTTTCGTATATTTCTTTAAGGTCTTGATTCTTTCTTCTGTTAATTTCAAGGATCTCTTTAATCATTCCTTTTATATCTTCTACTTTATTTTCAGTATTTTCAGTATTTTCCTAGTGTCTATCTTCATTTTCATTTGTTTCTCCATCTTTTTCATTATTGCTCTGCCTTTTAGCATTTCTTAGTTTGTTGTTTTTCTTTGTCCTCTTCTTTTTCCGTTTTAGTTCCTCGGTGTCCGTAAATGATCTCTCGAGTATATCCGATTCGTCTGATGAAGATATTTCCGTATTATCATTGGATCTTTGTCGTTTAGTCGATTGTGGTTCGAATTCCATGTGTTCAATGTTTTCAGTTTCTTTGTCCATTGTTGTTTCTGTTATAGGGGTAGAAGTTCTAAATTCCAATGAATTCTTTGGGTCCATTTGTTTTCCGTCATTTAAGAGTTCGTCAAGTTTTTCTTGTAGTTTTTTCCTCTCCATTATGTCCTTCCTCAGCAGGGATTTTGTGATCGTTTGTTAGGCCGGTCCTGCCTCTTTTCTTACAAATTTACTCTTCGAGCTTTTTCCATCTGTCTTCAGGATTACATGGTGGTTATCAATCCTTTTATTGCATTCATCCAATTTGTCCGTGATTTCTTTAACTTGTTGTGTCTTCTTTTGATCCGCAATTTCTTCATTTGTCTTGTCCGGGTTATCTGATGTTGAGGGTTTCTCAAGATTGGGGTTCATGTTCGATTCTCCTTCGGTGTTTTCATTAATAATTACAATTTCAGGTGTCAATGGGATTGGTGGGTCATTGCTTCCTTCAATTGGGTGTGGTTCAGAGGACATCTCTCTACGGTTAAGATAAAACTTCCTCTCAAGACACGCTTTCGAACCGCAATCAGTCACTGCATGACTCAAACATTTGCAGATTTTGCAATGGTATTTGGAGTGCCAGATACACTTTTTCATGAAGCAGAATCTGTCGCGTCTCGCGTCGCGTCGCCTATCACGAATTGTCGGTTGTTCCCCACTTCACGAGTTTTAATTTCTAAGTCTAAAACTAGCCTTTTCTTGCACTAATCAAACAATGTACATTTATGTCTTTATCAGATTTGATTAACTGTTTCTATGGGGTGATTCGAGTGAGTGTGGCTGCTATGTTGCCATTTTTATGACTAAATGCGCATGCGCGCGGCGCAGAAAAGACGAAAATTCTGTCCTAGATTTGGCAAAATTCACACTCACACATTCACAATCACTTCAGTTCTAAACGTTACATAATCACTCTGATCACACTAAAAGTCAATTTTCCGTCCTAAAGGGACGGAAAACGTACACTAAAGTCACACAGCAAGATTCAGGCACTTTTTAACATTACTTTTCACAAAAAATCCAGATGTAAACAATCAACGGAGATGTAGAAAGGGTTAGAAAAGGCGAGACGAAGCGGAGACGGGTCCTCACTGTCCAAGAGCGCTGTTGCCAACCCCGAGACTTTGGTTATTGTTGGATGATTTCTAGTTCAAGAGATTTTACGTAGATCCTGGCTTTTTATTTCTATGTACTTCAGTCTTTATTCAAAGCGAATTAGTAAGTAAACACTACTGTAACTAAAGTTGAAGTATGAACGCGCACTGATACAGGAGTAGGTGATGCTATGGTTTCTGTTAGTCATGAAGAAAACAGGATTAGAGCTCTTTACGGAAAAATACGAACTACTGACAAAATAATTCAAATTGGTCCAGTACCTATAAATTCTGTTGATATAAATAGTCTTAAATTTTAGCCGAATATTTTTATTATTTATCCTTTATTCACTTAATTTTTACATTAAGGTAAAAATCAGGTAAACCTTATCTCTCAAGTCTGTCTTTCATAAATAGCTCTACAAACACCCTTAAAAACATATTTCTTGAAAAAAAATTCTTTGAATTTTTTTTTAGGCACAGCAATTTTTTTTTCATGTCTACCCCTAGAATGACTAACCCGGACCTGCGAGGCCCGTATTGAGAGTATATGGTTATTTGATAGCTGGGATGCTTTCTTCTCTGTTTTTTGAAGAATTTGATAATTTTTATACTTCGCCTTCTGTAACCAAGGTCCCAAATCCTCTTTCCACCCATAAACTGCCCCCCCCCTCTCCCTCTAAACCTCATTATAAACACATGTTTAATTCTTTTTTGAGAATTTGAGGAAGCTGTATTGAAGAAACATTACCAGCCCTAAAAGTATACTTGAATTTGAGAGGGAGGGGGCAACCTCACTCACCCCTACCCCCTCTTCCTTTTGGTAGCCAAAAAAATTAGTACTTCCCGATTAGTTTCTTTCAAAGTTTTGCACCTAGGAGGGTTATTTTTTTAATTTTGTAAAAAGCAAATAAAGGCCTAAAATTTATTCTTGTTATTTATATATTACTTCCAATTTTTCGACAAATTAGAGCAAATTTTGGATATTACTGTGAATTATTATAAGATAAACGCGGGACAAAATTTCTTGTGAAGTATCTGATGGTTATTCTGAGGTATTGCTGTAATTTTTTTAGCTGAGAGGTGGTCATGGAGGTAATATACTGTCTAAGAACTGTCAAAGCACCATGCAATATTTGATAACAACTAAAAGGTAATGCATTTACATATTCACCCTATCACAAGAAGCACCTAAAATTAGCTCGCAAAAACTCGGAGATCGTCAAAAAGTAAAAGTAGATAAAAAATAATGGTTGCGGTAGTAGGACTGGGTATTTGAGGAAAAAATACAAAAGTAGGAAAAATTTTAGGAAAAACAGAATATAAAATACATTACTGAAGGTCAAGAAAATCAGACTTATTAGTTACTCATTATTCTTATAATTTTAGGTGCTTCTTGTGATAGGGTGAATATGTAAATGCATTACCTTTTAGTTGTTATCAAATATTGCATGGTGCTTTGACAGTTCTTAGACAGTATATTACCTCCATGACCATGGTAGCAGATATCAAAATGCAGTTTGTCAGTGTAGTCTTAAAGACCGAGCAATTACCGATAAAACAAGACAAATCCGAGCTCTCTCAAAAAATGACCAAGTCACAGTGCTTTCAAAATGACTTGTAGAGGTGACCCCTCCAGGATTTTTAGCTTTTTTTCTGGAAAAAAACAAAGATTTGATTAATCAAAAATTCTACAGAGAAATCGTCACGATCGAATGAAGTTGGCAACATGGTATCAGCCCGGACCTCGCACCCTGCGATTTTTGGTTATTCCCTACGTTGAAAAAGGGCTTAAGAGGCAGGAAGTTTAACTCCATCAACGAGATAAAAAGAGCTGTTGAAACTTTCTAAAAGAACATCAGGCAAGAAGAATTCGAAAAAAACATGTTTGAAGAAGTGGGAAGAACGGTTGCAGCGCCGTGTGGCAAGTGATGGAAGGTATTTTGAGAAGGAAACTAGTGTCCAGTCGTCCGGTGAAGAAGAATAAATGCTAGTAATCTTGGTAAGATTCTGTAAAATTGATTTAATAGAGCCACTTGAATCTTTAATTCTTTATTTTCTTTTTTTTTTTTTTTTTTCAGAAGAGAAGCTAAAAATCCTGGAGGGGTCACCTCTAAAAATCATTTTCAAAACACTGTAACTTGGTCATTTTTTGACTTAGAGAGCTCGCATTTGTCTTGTTTTATCGGTAATTGCTCGGTCTTTAAGACTTCACAAACCGCATTTTGATATCTGCTACCGCTCGTCCAAAAAAAAAAACGTGCAGTACTTTTGGGACAACCTATGTTGTAAGCTCCGAATAAGGTTATCACCGGTGGTAAAGTTTATCAGAGAAAAAAACGCGGATCCTGGACTTTCAGAGATAATTATAGGATAACTATAAACCGCACAGTGAAGAGAGTTTTAGGACTGTTATTTATTTCTCACGCTAATTTGTATTCAATCGTATTCACAGAGGTATAATCAGCTAATCCAAATAAAAGTTTCTAAATATGGTGTTTTTTGCATCGGTGAGTTGGTTCGCCATTTGACTGCTGCAGCGCTCTACTATACTAGAGCTCTAATCCAGGTCGAAAGCAATAAGCGCCGCCTATCGGCTGAGCGCTTAAAAAATACCTCCACTTCAAAAGACTTATTTCTATTCTTCTTAAAAAAATTCAGTCATGAGGATAGGCACCCTCACATTCACTGATAGAAAATGATTCTGGATTCATTACATAAATACACTTACTTGTTTTTGTTTTTCATGTTCCAAAGAAACAAGGCTAGATAGCCAAACTGAAAAAGAAGGAACAAATACGTCAATCCTCATTGCAAATATATTTTTGAGAAGTTGACAGAAACTTGACGTCTGCATTCAATTTTCATGCATCTTGATAATGGTAAAAATGTAAGATGATAAGATTTTAAAATATGCAAGAATTTTCAACATTTTCTTTGGTTTTTCACTCATATTTCTGTTAATGTCTCATGAGAAGTGAACAAGATTTGGTGATTTCGCGGTCCGTTACCGAAAGTTTCCAGCTAGTATCAAGAAAATATAATATGTGAATTCGCAAATGTCGATGCAGTATTTAGCACAAACTTTGCAGTCAAATACAAGTGCACATGGGTAAGGTTTATTTATAAACAAGAGACATTAATGCAATCCGTCCTATCAGCGACATGCAAAATGGGATAGTTTGCTATAACATAAACAATGTCATTCACAGGTGCACTAATTACCTGGAGAAAGGAAAACTATTACATTTAACCGTCTAAGATGCAGTTTCCCCAAAGAATAAGCTGCTCCCAAGGAGCTCAATAATGACTGAAAACTTCTGATCCTTTTCTGCGGAGTTCAAGATTGGCCAGATCTCCTCCGCCACCCGCCCATAAAATGAGGACAAATAACGACAGCGGTTCGAGTGTGGAAAAGAAAGAGATCAACAACACAGGGGAAGCTATCTTAACTACAGATCTTAAAAAAGTCAAGAAAGACCCTTCATTAATTGAGATGGCAAAATCGTCTATTTTGCAGTCGATTTCTATTGTTGAGTCACTTCACGATGAAAATATCCTCTCAAAAATTTTACTCAAGAGCAGAAGGCCTTAATGGATAAAATACGAAGTAATAGCAAGGCTATGCATAGTAATACATACATTAGTGAGCAGAGAGATAAGAAGAATTATTCTAATAATATTTAGCCAGCCTATGTTGACTGTAGGAATTAGGATAGTTCTACATATAAAAGGCATCTTTTTAAAGTGTTCTTCTTCTTATGGTTGTTGTGTACATACAGGGTTATTCAAAAGTTACGCACCACTGGCCATAACTTTAGTTCTAATTATGAGATCGATTTGCGGTTTGTGGCGTCCTTCCTCATATCGAGGGGGAACTTATTGAGGTACTTTCCAGTTCTTCACCCCCCCAGGGGGAGGGGGGGCGGGGGGCAACTCAAAAATTTCAAATGGCAACCCTCATCATGTGATACATCGTTAGAAAGAGCATGAAAAAAGACAATTTTTGGCGCAAACCGGAAGTCGATCTGACCCCCCTATCAAAAGTTAGGGGGGTGTCCAAAGGTTATTTAGGGGGTCCGTACCTTCATTTTTTAGAGTAGCTTCGGCGGCTCTTTTCAAAGAGTCCTCGAATACTCCAAGTCTGATACCGAAGTCTTCATATTGCCCCCGGGCCACCACAGCCCCCCCGTAGGGGGGATGGGCCTGTTACAATGAAACATTGCATTAAACTGCGAAAGGTCACAGAAGAGCTTCAAACTTAGAATCAAATCCGAGTGGAACTTCTTGCCAATGTTAACGCAAACGCAGCCTGCGACTTTAAAGAGAGTTTTCAAAACTCTTGGCCCCCTGCCCCCCCCTCATTTTTGGTTGCAGAGCGGGTAAAAACCGGGAAATTCACTACAAAAAATGCCCAAAACTAATGTCAAACTTGAGGAGGACCCTTGAAACGTTGCGATCAGTCGGAGCATTGAAATACAGGGACTGCCACCCCCTTAAAGTACGAAAACATCCAAAACACCCCCGCTGCCCCCCTCATTTTTCATTACGTAGCTGATAAGAACCGGGAAATTCGTCAGAAATGTTGCGCGAAACTACTGTCCAACTTGACGCGGACCCTTGAAACGTTGCGCCCAGTCGGAGAACTGCAACACAGGAACTGCCGCGCACTTTAAGGACGAAAACATCCATAAAACCCCCGCTGCCCCCCTCATTTTTCGTTGCGGGGCTGGTAAGAACCGGGACATCATTTCTGGCGAATTTCCCGGTACTTACCAGCTCTGCAACGAAAAAAGAGGGGGGCAGCGGGGGTTTTATGGATGTTTCCGTCCTTAAGGTGCGCGGCAGTCCCTATATTGCAGTTCTCCGACTATTCGCAACGATTCAAGGGCTCTCGTCAAGTTCTACAGTGGTTTCGGGCATCATTTCTGGCGATATTCCCGGTTTATACCCGCTCCGCAACGAAAAATGAGGGGGGCAGCGGGGGTTTTATGGATGCTTCCGTACTTAAAGAGGGCGGCAGTCCCTGTATTTCAATGCTCCGACTGATCGCAACGTTTCAAGGGTCCTTCTCAAGTTGGGTGTTAGTTTCGGGCTATATTTGTAGGGAATTTCCCGGTTTTTACCCGCTCTGCAACCAAAAATGAGGGAGGGCGGGGGGCTAAGAGTTTTGAAAACTCTCTTTAAAGTCACAGGCTGCGTTTGCGTTAACATTGGCAAGAAGTTCCACTCGGATTTGATTCTAAGTTTGAAGCTCTTCTGTGACTTTTCGCATTTTAATGCAATGTTTCATTGTAACAGGCCCATCCCCCGTACGGGGGGGCTGTGGTGGCCCGGGGGCAATATGAAGACTTCGATATCAGACTTGGAGTATTCGAGGAATCTTTGAAAAGAGAAACGGTATGTCCAAGAGCCGCCGAAGCTACTCTAAAAAATGAAGGTACGGACCCCCTAAATAACCTTTGTACCCCCCTAACTTTTGATAGGGGGGTCAGATCGACTTCCGGTTTGCGCCAAAATTTTTCTTTTTTCATGCTCTTTCTAACGATGTATCACATGATGGGGGTTGCCATTTGAAATTTTTGAGTTGCCCCCCCTCCCCGGGGGGGGGGGGGGGGGTTGATGAACTGGAAAGTACCTCAATAAGTTTCCCCCTCGACATGAGGAAGGGCGCCACAAACCGCAAATCGATATCAAAATTAGAACTAAAGTTATGGCCAGTGGTGCGTAACTCTTGAATAACCCTGTATACACTATACAGGGTTATCCAAAAGTCACTGACCACCCCTGTAACTTTTTTCCAAATCGAGATAGAAGTTTGAAACTGTGGCAATGTTCCTCGGTCTTAAGTAGCAACTTTTTTGTCCCCCCAAAATTTTGGGGGGCGGGGGCTAACTTTTTTTTTCAAATGACAACCCTACCTTTGTGATATCTTATTCGAAAGATAATGAAAAAAGAAAATTTTTGGCGCAAACCGCAGGTCAAAATGTTGATTTTTGACAAAATGGCGGCCGGACAAAGTTCAAAATGGTGGAAATCTGACATCTCCGTTATTTTTTGACAGATTAACGTTAAACTCGGAATCTAAGAGTATTTTGAGACGAGAAAAACAATTCCGGCATTGGTTTTCCAGAAAAGTCGGTCCTTTTCAAAATGGCGGCGGTCAAAATGGCGACCTAGCGCGGGAAGTGGATATTTAGGCTGCTCTTCGTTGGATTTGCATGAAACTTGGTATCCGGGGGTATTTCGGCACAAAATGAACGAATCTTTCATTGGATATTTGAAATTCCGACAAATTTCAAAATGGCGGGAAATCAGTTTTACGGCTGTTTACCGATGGATTCGCATGAAATTCGATATCCTGGTGGTTTTGGCTGGATGAAAGAGAATCTTTCATTAGATTGTTGAAACATTAAAAAATCGATGTCGAATTTCATGCAAATCCATCGGTAAACAGCCGTAAAATTGATTTCCCGCCATTTTTCCGCCGCCATTTTGAAATTTGTCGGAATTTCAGATATTCATTGAAAGATTCGTTCTTATCGTGCCAAAATACCCCCGGATACCAAGTTTCAAGCAAATCCAACAAAAAGCAGCCTAAATATCCACTTCCCGCGCTAGGTCGCCATTTTGACCGCCGCCATTTTGAAAAGGACCGAGTTTCTGGAAAACCAATGCCAGAATCGTTTCTCTCGTCTCGAAATACTCTTAGATTCCGAGTTTAACGCCAATTTGTCAAAAAATAACGGAGATGTCAGATTTCCACCATTTTGAACTTTGACCGGCCGCCATTTTGTCAAAAATCAACATTTTGACCTGCGGTTTGCGCCAAAAATTGTCTTTTTCATTATCTTTCGAATAAGATATCACAAAGGTAGGGTTGTCATTTGAAAAAAAAAAGTTAGCCACCGCCCCCCAAAATTTTGGGGGGACCAAAAAGTTGCTACTTTAGACCGAGGAACATTGCCAAAGTTTCAAACTTCTATCTCGATTTGGAAAAAAGTTACAGGGGTGGTCAGTGAATTTTGGATAACCCTGTGTATATAGTTCCACCACTAAGCTCTCCTGGGTCATTTCTACAGTATAATTTTTCTGTCTTTGTATGCCTTCGTCCTAAATTCTATCTCAGGCCACATTTTAAATTTTGGAAATTTTCTCAGTTCTTTTTTTCTTCTCTCGATTTCACTTCGATTTCTTTCATAGTTATCATGATCAGAGACCCTCCACTAGTATCTTGGCCATTGTGGAAGCTTTTACTTTCGGGACTTCAGCATTCTACTGTTGACTTACCTACATGGTTGATGTTCAACAACGGCATGAGAGGCAGTTTCATTTTGCAAACACGCCGAAAATGGCCGACGTTTGGGAAACTTGTTTGGCTCATGACGTCATCCGAAGCTCATCATCGACCATGTAGGTAAGTCAACAGCCGAAACTAGGGTGATGACTGTCGCTCCCTAGTAATTGTCCGTAAGGAATTGTTGAAACCCCGAAAGTAAAAACTTCCACCTGTCACTAGGAGGCCAGTGGAGGGTCTCTTGTCTCTGATCATGATACCTGTCTGGTTAGGAAGTTATTTTTTAGCGATTCAGAGATATGAATATTTCAAGTCCGATTTTAGATTTAATGATAGAGTGTTTGGGAACTCCTTTCGTATCTTGACAGGATTGCATGGGGTACATGTAACAAATGGTTACTTAATATTTCACTTGTAAAATAAACCAGTCACTTCCTTTTCACAGAGTCAATTATGCTGTTATATCCACCACTTATTTGAGAATATTAAATAAGCAAATCTTATAAAATCTTGACTAAATCTACTCAATAAATCTAAACTGTGTAATAGTTTTGATACTGCGAGTCTTTTCAGACACCTTTACGATGAAGGAAGTAGAAAATTATGGAACAGAAAGATGTTCATTGCTCAAAGATAGCTATAAACTTTATGCAGCTAAATAGAAAGCCTTGAATAAAATTGAAAAACAGAAAGAACTCACTGGCTTCCGTTTCCCGCCTGTCAATTTCATCATAGACATCCATGACTAGATCCTCAAATTGTTTATTGGGTAATTGCTGCAACTTCTGCCGGGCATTTTTGGTTAACTCAGGTGGGACAATGATGCCGTCAGATATATCTGGGAAGACAAAGTGTTGGCCTTGTTTATGGTCTGGCTTTTGAGAAGTGAGAAAAAACGATAACCGATCTACTACCTCGTAAACGCATTCCGTTAGTCTATCCGCTAGGTCTCTGTGACCTGCCATCCTGTTGTAAAACATAGAGTGAATGGTTACTCATGATGCAACATTCTCATTCCAAACTCAACAAAACCTACAATATGCTGATATTCATTACAATTGCACATGGTGCTCCAACTCCACCACAGGGGTGCAGAGGATTCTTTGCCTTCATATTTTTTTAGGCTGCCATCACGTTGCTGTCCACATGAAACTGGTCGTTTCACTATTTTCTTCACATAAAAGAGCGCAATACAGTTTCCTTCGCCAGCAGTAATGTGGTTAATTATTTTCTTTACCAAAAAAAAAAAAAAAAAAAAACGACTATGATGGTTTCCTTCACAAAAACGTGTTTTTTCTTTACATTTTTTGCTCAAATTAGGTGCCTTCACAGTTCCCCTCTGATCAACCGATCAAGCATATCTGCAACCCTACTCCGGTCGGCGTCATCAATAAAATTTACCTAAACTCCAAGCTTTGAGCTCAAAAATGAAGAGCTGCCGTCAGACATGCTACCTAGAAAATGTATATAACCTTAATGGTATTACTCAATGAATTCCTGCTGTTCTTCAATCATACCTACGTCTTGCAGTCTTTTATTGAACATATTGGGTACTACTAAAAATTGTATACATTGTAAACTATTGCTGAAGCAAAACGAAACATACTTCCTCTGGCGAGAATTGTTCAAAAATGACTTAAAACACATCCTAGATGTCTGAAATTTACCTGGTCCAGTCAAATTAGATCAAATATCAGGGATAGGGGAAAAATTCCCATACAATCGGTTTTTGGCTAAAGTTGCTTGTTAGGATCTAGAGAGGCACAGACTAAGAGTCCCCATTGATATCCCTTGTGCTTAGCCTCCCCAGCCCCCCCCCCCCAAAAAAAGGCTAACAAATCGATTTCTTGGTTGTATTTGGAAAACGGTTGGAGATGGCGTGTTGCATACCTATACTGGGGAAAATGTTCCTCATCAAAGAACTTGATGCAAGAACGGCTTCTTTCGCCCCCTCCCCCTGGAATTTCATCAAACTTTTTCTATTGATTCCTCATGCTTGAGCGCTTCTTTTCCCAAATTTTGAGACCCCTAAAAATTTTTTTTGAGGGGGGCGCTAGGGGGGGGGGTGGAAGTCAAGACCTGTGAACCTCAATATCTCTCGAACAAAGAAAGATATCAAGGTCCGGTTTGGACAAAAACTCGTCTAAAATTGCATACTTTAAGTTTCTAAAAGTCAAAATCCCGAAATTACATTTTCAAGTTAACACATGTACTTTTTTTCAATTTTTGAGTTGAGAAAATTTCTTTCAAAAAAGAATTTACAAAGTACTCAATTTTTTATTTGAACCAAAACCATTTTTTTAAATTGCTCGTCTTTTTCCGCATCCAACGAACGGTCTCAACGCATGCCGATCGACCGGCCGCTCAGTGGGCCTCTCAAGTAGCGCTAAGGAAAAAATGGTCCAAAACAAAATGGAAGAAAGCCAAGAAATTAGGTCGACACGATCTGGAGCGTATCCACCAACTTCAGCGATCTTACAATCGTCTGACTAAAATAGTAGCATCGAAACAGCATTTGAATCGAGAGAGCGGACGACGACGACGACGGTAATTATAATGTTGTCAGAGAAACGTGGGGGATCGTCGAGGAGCTACATAAACCTACAGGACGGAACTATCCACGTCGTTAAGTACGGATTCTCGGATTATTCGATTTATGGCACGCCGATCTCGTCGAGATGCAACCGTACGCCTCGCGTCAATAAAGGCAACAGATATTTTCTCACCGTCATCGACGCGTGCTCGAAAAGGGCGTGTGCTGAACCGCTAAAATCGAAAACGGCCATGGATGTCACTAATGCCATGCAACGCGTTCTGAAAACAGCCGGAAAGTCACCGAAACATTAAAAGTCGATATGGGATCGAAATTCTACAACTCCAATTGTCAAGCATTGATGAAGCGTCACAAGATCAATATGTAAGGCTCCTACTCGTTGACCAAAGCCTCTATTGTCGAGCGATGTGGAAAGAGTTCAGCGCACAAGGATCGTATAAGTGGGTAGATCTATTACCGAAACTCATTCGTGAATATAACGGGAGCGTTCATCGCACCATCGGAATGAAATCAATTGATATTACCGAAAAGGATGCACCGATGATTCTGCAAAAGATTCGTGGGCCGCCGCTGAGTTAAACCGAAAAGAGACGTCTGGCCAGGCGAAAACTCCAAGTCGGTGATCATATCCGGATCTCCAGACTCAGAGCCATGTTTGAGAAAGGATACACACCAAACTGGAGTACGGAAATTTTGAAGATTGTCAGCGTCAATCTGACCGTTCCGATCGCGTACGATCTGAAAGACGCGCACGATACTATAATCAAAGGAAAATTCTACCGCGTAGAACTCCTACCCACCAACTATAAGGATACGTTGCTTGTGAAGAAAATTCTGCGTCGCAAGAAAAACCAGGCCTTTGTCAAATGGTTAAGTCTGGACGCGAGTCACGATAGTTGGCTCGACACTAAGGATTTCGTATAAATAGTATTCACTCTCTTCGCAGTATCGTAAGGAAGAAATCATTAATGATAAAATAATTCTCATCACTTTCATCATCGTTGTTGGAGTGAATTCCACAGTGGTGGAAAACTCATCCGAAGCAAACATCACAATGTGCCCGATCTATCCAGAGATCAAATGTGCACCTTCTACCTTGACGGATCTTCCTCTATTCATCTTGAGTTTGTTGGCGCTCATTTGTTCCGTTCCATACCTGTACTCCAAGTACCTATCATCCGACTGCAAGTTCCGTTTCACCAGGATGTCCCGTGAGAAAAACAATCGGAAAGTCGATGACATAAGTGTCGATTTAAAGTTCGGAGAAGGAGAAGGAGAAGGGATCGATGTTTGTGGTTGACAACCCTAACGTTTTTAAACATGGACTTTTTAAACGTGGACGTTTTAAAACATGAACGTTTTTAAACTCGGACGTTTTTAAACGTGGACGATTGTAAACGGAAACAATAGATTTAAAAAAATAATATATATAATTTTGATTCATCAAACTGACCATTGCAATAACCAAACCCAGTTGCTTGTTCCAAAACACATGGTTCCGATACAAATCTTCAAGCGATCTGCTACACACCGCCCCGCCACTAAAAATTGAAATTCCCAAATCAGACCTTACTCTCAAGTCTCCAATACCAGACCCATCCTGGAGGAGATGGTCTATTGTTGCCGTAGTCTTTATAGTCCGAAATTTCGAATATTTTGCACAGTCTGACAACAATGTAGGGAAAACTTATTTAATTTCTTGCACCATCTGGCAAAACTGTAAAATTCGATGCAGTCAAGTTTCACCAATAATTAAACCATTTATTAACGTGTACCGTCCGGCAACGCTGTTGCATAACCTGCAGATTGTAGGGGTAACATACGCGATTGCATAACCCGCAGATTGAAGGGGCTACATGCAATACCTAGTATGCATAACCCGGAAAATGAAGGGGTAACATACAATACTTTTTACAGCGTTGCTTTATTGTAAATGCCCACCCCACAACACTGTAATTTATTTCGTATTGTTCTGCACAATTTGGCTGTAAACTTTTGGGCTCAAGTCGGTATTTTCACCCTACTGACCCTCAAAATGGCCGCCGCGTAGGGGCGTCATAGCGCGCTTCCTCACTGTACCCGCACAAGTACGGCTCTAGACCACGCTGCCGCGCCAGTTGCTGCGCTGTTGAGTAATTATGTGCACTTACCTTGTTTACTATGCAAAATTCTGCTTTCAGTCAGTAAACTTTGATGCTTGAGAAATGGCCTTTGGGCGAAATAAAGCTTGAAAGCAAGAAAATGTAGTTTGATAACGTTGCCCCACATATTTGCACACATTTGCACTGCCAGTTTTGGTAGTTTTTTTCAATCATTCGTAGGTTGATTCACGGTTTTTTGGAAGATCAAAAAGGAAGGACGTAGAAGGGGGAAGGACGAAAAAGGAAGGAAAAAGCGGTCGGTTAAGGAATGAAAGAACACTTTTTATGAATTGCAGTTTTATTAGGGGTTAAGTAATAAAATGAAAATGAAATTAATAAAATTTGTGCCGTCACTTTACGTTTGATTAACTTGAAAATCTATGAAGACTAAAAGTTACTACTTTATAGGAATAAAAGGAGGAAACCCCAAAGTCTGCTATGATTAAAAAAGTGGACGTCTCTTTGATGATATGGTTGAATCATTCTAGTTTCATCTTCCTCTCTTCCTTGGCAATTCTTATCTCAGCATGGTTCTTTTTCCTGCATTTCCTCCTCAAAATCATTATCCAAAATTGCTTCGGCATCATCTACATTTTCTTTCTCATCTTCCAAGCTTTCCACCTTGCGGAAGCTTTTGTATGCTTCACCGCAGCAATTTAGACAGATATTGGAGCACTGGCTGGGCGACCAATAGCCTCCCCAAGACTAAGGCTGGCGTTTAGAAGGAGCCCAACTTGCTCCTATTCACAAGTACCTAAGGCCAACACCGGAGTAAGTGCTCAACTCAATATTTTGCAGCTGCACAACAGGATGCAGCAAGGCATGCGGATGTTGAAAATCTGGTCTCAAGTGCTCCAATATCTGTCTAAATTACTGCACTGAGGCATGTGAAATCTCTCGCGAGCTGAAAAGCTTAAAAGATGAGGAAGAAAATTTCCATCTCGCAGAAGTTTTCGCATGCCTCAATAATACGCAACTCGCCATCTCCAGCCGTTCTCAAAATACAGCCAAAAAATCAAGTTTATAGCCTTTTTGGGGGTGAATGGGGGCTTGGGGGCTAAGTACAAAGGATATAAATGGAGACTTTCAGCCTGTGCCTCTCCATACCCTACGAAGCAACTTTAGCCAAAAATCGCTGGTTGAGGAATTTTTTCCTCTATTTTTCCTAATTTGACTGGACTAACTCCTAACTTCACAATCTGCATCAGAGCACCAAGATAGGGAGAGTGTGGACACGTCCATACATTGATCACTCAGGACCCAAAAGGACA